AAAGCTAAGTAGAACAAGACTTGAAACCGTTCTGTAATCAGATATTGAGATTCACAGGGTTTAACGTTAGAGAAAAATATGAAGATTTTTGAGCAGTATGTTTTTAAAATTCCTTTTAAATATGTTTACAGGGCTCAAGTTTATTGTATAAACTTCATCAAATTCATTTATTTTTATGTATTCATCCACACGACCTCAATTCCAAAAAGGATTTGAGGTTGGTGTGTTTCTAGCACTGCAGCCACGTGTCATTCATTCATAGATAATACTTTAGCTCCATGCGCATTGATGTAGGTGAGAAGAATTTTGGCTCTCTGTTCTATTACATCGATAAGTTTTTCCATTCCTTGTCTACCTCCTTGGCTCTCCCAGTAAACCTGATCAAGAAACAGAGATTGAAGTAGTTTCTGCCGTAAGTGCTGGCTCTTCAACACAGAAACTGCAGATTCAGGAAACCTGAAAAGATACAATGATAGGTCTTCCTTAGTAATTACTTGGATATATTAGGCCTTACCCAACCTCGCTGTCCTTCCTCAATCTGGCATAAATTGCATGATCAACGAGTGTTGTTGTTTTTTTGAAAACCCAAACATTTCCATCACTGTCACTTCTCTAAAATGCTCAAAGAACGAAAATGTCTACACCATCTACACTTTGACATACTAATACCCCACAGAAGATCATTAGGTGTAAGCAAAAAAGAGTTTTAGAACTAGAAAGGATTCTGTTAACCTGGCAAAATTGTCTCATAGAGCTTAAATTTCATTTTGCCCATATAAAACTCTTCCGGCTGTCCAGTAAAATAATATTCTCCTAAATGTCAAGGCGAGGTTTCATGCAATAAAATGCTCAACAGGATGATGAGTTCAACAAAGCAACCTTCCTGAATCAAAGCTAGATTTACTGTGAAATAATCTCACATGTAGTAAAAGTGTAAGTAATCATTTGAAAATACCCTTTGGCACAGATTTTACACAGTAATTCTAAGGATTTGGAAACATCAATGAAATAATAATGGTGTTTCATTGTTTTCAAATATATTTAGCACAACTCAGACTTTAGAGACAGGGCATTTCACCATGAATGGTCAGAATTTTTGATGAATTGCCTTACTAGAGTATACTGTACTTGCTCCATCTCTTCATTTAGAAAGTAAAAAACCAGGAGTCTATCCTATATCCTATATAAAGGACTTAGTAAAATGTCTTGTTTAAATCATAATTAATATTTTCATATGTCCCCAATTTGCCTTCTCCCAACTTTCCTTGTTAAAAGTGTATGTTTTGCCAAAAATCTCAGGCTCTCATAAGCACCTTTCCCAAATTGTGATGTGACCAGGTGGGAGTAACAGACAGGCATATGGAATTCAAACTGCAGTCACACTGAAGAAAATTCAGAGGCCACATATCTGGAAATGTTCAATAAATGTGGATTTAAACAATATTACGAGATGCTCTATACTCTCGAAAGACATGTCCAAGATCACTGCCATCGAGTTGATTTTTAACTCACAGCAACCCTCCAGGACAGGTAGAACTAACTGTCCCTCTGGGTTTCTGAGATTACTACATTTTATGGAAGTAGAAAGCCTCATCTTTCTCCCATAAAGCAGTTGGTGGTTTTGAACTACTGACCTTGTGGTTAGCAGCCCAACATATAACCACTATGCCACCAGAGCTCCTATTCAGTGTTTATAGAATAATTAAACAATATAACAATTAAATTAATTAATTAAGCATTTTCCAGTGTGAAGTACTAACAGTCCGTGATTTGTAAATTCCAAACTGCTACATTTGAGGCTATCTTTAGTGACTACCCCTTTTTTATAAGGAACAACAAAAAATATCTTACACATCTAAAAAGAGAAAATTTGCCATGTTCTGCCTTAATCAATATGGAGATGTGAGGAACTAGACAAAACATTGAAAATCCCACGAATCCAGGACTCAGGAAACTCTCAGGGCAGTTTTACTTCTAATGTTAAAAGTGCATAAAATCAACACTAGCTAATTGATCATTCCAACTCATTATTTAAAAGATGTCTATAATGCTTATAGGAAGAATACGTAAATATTCTGTCAGAATATTAACAAGAGTCATATGAATACACTAGCAACACCACAAGTTTATATAGAAAGAGTATTTATTTTTGATTTCAAAGAGCTGGGAGTTCATGTCCGTTTTAGACTTAATTGTGCTTCCCAACAAGTCATGCAATTCCATTCATCTGGTTAGTAACTCATCTCTCTATATGTTAGAAGAAACCTATCCCAAATTCCTTAGTCAATCGGATTTTTGACTAAGCTACAAAATGTAGAAGGTGGCTTAGTCCAGGCCTGCGATAGGTAGGAATCCAGCCACAATGCCCATGGCTGGCTCCTACTCCGCTGCAGGGTTCTGATTGTTCCATAAGTAACCATGGCATCTTGGCATCTAGGATGAGGTACTGCTCCTTCAGTCTCACATTGATCCTATCTCTGCTCTGTGTTTCTTTCTGAGCCCTCCCAAAATGTTCGAGGTCTCCCCTGAATTTTGATTTCTTTTTTTTTTTTTTTAATTTTGATTCCTAAATGCTCAAAACCCTCCTACCTGAATAAATAGCAGCGTTTGATATTTGCCCACCAGACTGGTTCTCCTTTTCCTCTTCATTCCTAAAATTCACATAAGTTTATTCTGCTTTTGGATGTCCTACCATGCTATTAACTGTATATCTAAGATGTCTCCCTGCAGCCTATGCAAGGCCTTCAGAAGTAACCCTCTACCACTTGTACTTCTTGCTCTGCCAGGACCCCTAAAATCTTTCACCCTGACCCAAGGGCTGAAGAGCAGTGGGTGTGACATGTCAAGGAAAGTTGAAATGTTGGCAAACAGACTGTGCTTGAACTCTGGTTCTATTCCATTTGGATTTGTTTCCTTAGGTCACCATCGAAGATGGTACCAACACAAAACTTACTCTTTGATGCCTTCTAATAATTTGAAGTTTAAGTTATCTTCACTTCGGTCAAAGAAGCCCTTATTGTCCACAAAGACCAAGTGCCTTGGGTCATGCTTCCTCTGGACGATGTGTGCTAGAGCCACAGAGTCTTGGTCTTTGCATTTTGACCTCAGTCCGTTCTGTACACAGGCATCTTCTTTGCGTGGTCTGAATCCACAGCAATTTGTATCTAAGCGATTGTAAATCTGAAAATGAACAACAAAAACAAAAGCCAGGATGCTAAATAAAAATCAAACTTAGGAACGCTAGAAGATTTCCAAATAACTTTAGAAGAGCTGACTTGCTAAAACGGAATGGGGCCAAGCTCATCTAATTAAAGGTTACGGTCAGAATAAGCCCAAGGTTCACATCCTTCTGACTCAGCTATGGTTATAAGCATTTCCAGCTTCAAAGTCATGTCATCCAAGTTAGGCATCTCCACCCTTAATATTCAAAGTTCCCACTGACCTCACATGTAGACACGTGGCCAAAAGAGTCTCTAACTCCATTCCTGACAGAGGAGACAGTTGAGTGCTTTCATATACCCATAAGGCTATATACCAT